TAAAAAAATCATATTCATATATATATAAGTATATTTATACATAAATATATACGTGTATGTATATACATATTTAACAATTTATTGTTTTATCTTTTCTATATTTTGTAATTATATAAAAATCAAATTATGAAACAAAAATTAAGTAAAATATAAAGGGAAAAATAGATACTTTGATTGAATCTGAAAATGACAAAATTATAAAGGCAAATTAAAATTGAGCAACTACCTATAATAGTTTGTGTGAAATTATACTAAATTGACGACTACGTCTAAATATTATTAAATATAAAATTCAAGTTTTTAAAATGTTTTCTTAAAAAATAAATTATAAATTAGAAAAAGAAAGAAATTTTCTGCATTGGGGAAACTATAGTTAGTTTACCTGTTATTCGTTGTTTTCAATTTGATTATAAAACTTTAATTACTAACTAAATATTTATTATAGTTTTAATTTTTAAATATCTCCTTTTTTATATTATTTATTTATACACCAAATTTATTTTATTCATATAAACACTATTTTGTTTTTTATTACACTTTACTAAACGTTAAGATTGTTATCTTGTTATAATTATTAATAATCCTAATAAAATTAATGTAGTCGTTGATTTAAATTGATTTTTCCCAGACTCCCCCTGCCCCCCTCCCCATCCCCCAAAATATATACATATTATATCATAAAAAAAGGATAAAAAAAAAAGAAAAAAAAGAAAACTTATTATTTTAAATAATTAAAGAAAAAATTTCTAGTCGTGTTTCAGTATTAAAAATGAAAATTGAAAAGGAAAAAAGTTAAGTAAATTACAAAAACAAAAAATATAATAAAAACAAAAATATTTATAATAAAAAAAGGTAAAAGAGGTGAAATTAATTTAATAATAAAAAAAAATAAACAATGTAATGTTAAAAAAAAAGAAACTGAATATAGAAGAAATTAAGCGATAAACTCTTGCCATGTGTCATTGTGTATGTAATTAATAAAATGAAAATAAAAAAAACAATATTAAAAAAAAATAACATAAAAAACTTAATAATAATGAACAATTTATGTCTTTCGTCATTAGAATGGAAATTAAATGAAAATTTTATTAAATCTCGTCTTAAAACAAAAAAAAAATTTAAACTGAGTTTTATTTTTAATTAATTAAATTAAATAATATTTTTGACCTCTTCTTCAGATGTTCCTTGAAAATTTTTGAATTCTTTAAAAGGGATATGAAAATTAAATGTCTCATATTTTTTATTTTGTTAAAACAGTGTTGACTCCTTCTCTTAAATTTAATTTGCTCAATTTCATTTCTTTCAAGAATTTGTTTTCATATAAAAAAATAATTTCTTGAAATGATTTATTTTTTATGCAAGAGATTGTTTGGAGTTTTGGAAATCTCAACAAAACTATTGTCACTATTGTTCTTCTAAATAATTGCATTTTTTATTTTGCAATTTAACGATTCTTTTAATGGCAATAGTCGAAACTGAAATTTATATTGTTCGATAGGAAAATCAATACATGATCAGTTAACAGAATTTTTGTTAATCAATTCACTTTTAAAATAAACCATCCATTTTAAAACAAAAACTAAATTATGAATTTAGATTAAATAACTATTAATCGAATTTAATGTCTATTATAATAGACCTTTTTCTGAGCGTAATGTTGCGGAACAATAACGTGATATGTACGTTATATATTCTTGACAGCTTGTGTATTTAAACTGCAGCTATTTATGGTCAAAAGTTTTCTGGTTCATAAGCTTTTGTTTTCTTGGATTATATCATTTTCGAATCCCAGTAATTTCTAAATAAATAAATTTTAATGAATTTTTAGAAATGCATTAAGAAATTTTATTAAAATTATATTATTAAAGATGATAATTCAAATATTTTTTTGGTAAGTTTCAAATCTTTATGAACACATTTGATTTGCGACATTGTTTATGAACACAAAGATAGCAAAGTTTTCGCTATAAGATTGCTCTTACGAATGAACCTAATATAAACCCTTAATTGCATAAATTTTGTAAAACTGAAAAGAATATTTTTATAAATGGCATCGTGTTGAGGGGGTTTTCGTTTATTCGGTTCTAGAATAGTTCTAACTTGTAGTACGTTCGAAAATTCATGCTACGTACACTGAAAATATAGATCGTTCGGAAATTACTGGCTGCAATAAAGTGCCTTTTTAAATTCAATCTGCAATAAAGAAATGTTAGAAATGTAGCGCAGACCTCTAGTATAAATTTTGTGGCTGCATCATGATTTTTTTTTTTTAAATTTAAAATTTAAAAAAATTTTATATTTCAAAATGGCAGATTCAAATATTGAAGGGTTATTAAAGTAAGTTTTCTTTAAGTATTAAAGTAAGTTTTCTTTAAGTTTTCAAATCTTGTTAAAATTTCCTTATTTTGCAGTGAATTGGAAAGCGAAAAGTATCGGGATACTTACTTAGATTTCATAAATAATGTCATTTCTGTTATTTTCGAACGACAGATTATTTAGAAGTTTCAGAATTTGTAGACTGCGTAACAAAAAAAGCTTGGCTAAAGTTTTTGTTTTTCTAATGAAGAACTTTCAGCGCAGCGTGCATAAACGAAAACTCCCTGATTTTGTTTTTGACAATTTTGTTCTTAGAAGTTTTAGAAACACATATTTGTTGTACTCTTACAAACTTTTGTAACGTTGCACTATAATCTGAACTAACCTGAAGTGGTATTATAGTTAATATCGTATATTACTATAAAATTTAGAACTCATAAGCTTAAACATCTACTAAGTGCTAATAAACTAAATTTTTAGTATTACCTTATACAGTTGGCTTGATGTCAAATAATTGTCTGTAAGATCATATTTTTAAAATTGTATTGTAAAAACGTGATCTAGAGATTTCGGAAGGAATAGTTTAGTAAACGTAAATAAATTGGTGATTGGCCTTATAGTACTAAAAACCGGATAGAATCGAAAACTCTTCATTTCACTTAAGGAATATTCAATTTTCTGAATTATTTGCAAGTGACTTCTTGTTATTAAATTGCATTTAATTCTACATTAAAAGATTGATGACCTTTTATTGCCTTGAGAAAACCTTTTGAAAATCTTTATCTTATTTCTATAGTTTAGAATCGAAAATAAAATTTAAATAAAACTTCCCAAAATTTAATATGTGTGTTTACATACATATATTTTTTAATTTACTTTTACATTTTATATTTTTTCTTTATACATATTATAATATTAGGTAATATTTACAATTAAAAAAAAAATGGCTCATAAAATTTACAAAATAAATAAAAAAAAAAAACAATTTTACATGTTTAATTTTTTTTCATTTTATATTTAAAGTTTTTGAAACGTATAAAGAAGAAGAACCTTGATTAAATATTAAAGCGTTAAATTAAAAAATACTTTAATTTTTAATTTTAATTTATTAATTTTGTTTTAAATGCAATTCGTGGACTTGCAATTGATTCATTTTGTACTAAGAAGTAGATACTTTCTTGACTAAAAATTTTCATAAACGGAAGAAATAAAAAAATTTTCTTAAAAACTGCTCATATAAGGAGTTTATAAATGAAACCTAAATATACAAGTAAATTTATCCCATTTAATGTAAATTTTTTATGCTTAGTTAACTAATTTGAGTGTAAAATAAAAGTTAGAAAAATTTATCTATAAAACTGTAACGAAACCCTTTTACAATAAAAAAACTTTTCTTTTTCTTCTGGTTCAAGTATATAACCTTTTAAAATGGAGTTCGCGAATGGAAAAGAAAAGCGGAAAACAGAGTAGAATGGAGGCAAATTTTAAAGAAGGCCAAATCTCACAACGGGATGTAGCGCCAGCAGAAGAAAAAGAAGAAAATTATATGGAGCGTTGAATTTGTATATTTAAGAAGTCTTCCTCGTTATCGATTTTAATGTACAATATTTAATAGATTTATGGTCAGTACAAAGTTATTGTGTTTACATTACATAAATTTATGCTCAGTACAATAATTTAGTTGCATTACAATAAAATACAATATTAATAATTATAAAATACAATAAAATACAAAATTACAACAAAATACAATAAAATACGTAAAGTAACACTTTGTTTGCATAACGTGTATGTATTTAGAAAATTTATGTTTAAAATCTATCAGAAAAATGGACATTTATGTGGAGAATTTAAAGTTTTAGTCCTACCTAGTTTTCTTGATTAACATGTTTTTTAATTAAAATTTGAAAGTAAAATACTTCAATCTTATAATCTGTGGAAGAGAATTATTATGACTCCAATACTCCAGTTATTAAGGAGACTTTCGATTGAACAGTTTTCATTAAAATATAATGGTACAATTTTAAATGGTAAACTAAATAAATTTAAATTTAAATTTTAATTACTGCATGCTGAATTTTAAATATAAAATAATTATAATTTATGATTTTTAGAGTTTGTAATTGCATTTCTTTTTGGGACGAAAATAAAGGCTTTAAATTTTTTTTCATTTGATTGGAAGAACAAAATTTTATAACAATTAAAAAAATTTTTCATTTTTTAATACATTGCTACTCTCTTAAGGTTTTATAACAATTTCTTAAATTTCAAATAATATAGAATAATTTAAATATTATAAAATTTAATTTTATAATATGTGCATGTATGTATGTATGTTTGTCTGTATGTAAATAATAATATAATTAATTTATATTTTATTTGATATTTTATTTCTTTCTTATAAACAATTTTTTATACAAAATTTAAGAAAAATACAATGTAATATTTACATATAAATATTTATATAGAATTATGTATGTATGCATTTATATATAACGCATGATTATATAATTTTAATATTTTTAATGTGAGCAAAGAATTTATTTTTATTTTAATCTTTTTTTCACTTATAAATTAGAAAACAACTTTTTCTTATTTTTTTTTTTAATTCAATATTTTTATTTACATAATTAAATTTTAATAATCAATATTTAAATATTAATTTGTATATATATATATATATATTGCATAATAAGTATATGCATTTTTATGTATGTGTGTAAATGTGTAAATATTATAACTATTATAAAATATATTGGAAAATTAAATTTATAGAAAATGGCCACATTTTTGTTTTTTTTTCTTTTTCATCTTTTATAATTGCTTTTTCATAAGAGCACCACAAAATTAAATTTTTGTCTTTTATAAAATTATAAATTATAATATATTTTTAAAAAATTTTTCCGAGACTGTGTGTTCTTCGAAATGGATTCCAAGTACTGGATGAAAGACTACCTAAACGTGATTTTGTTCCTTTTATTCGAGTTTTTGGTTTAGATGTTGTACCAGTTGGACTGGATGAACCAGACGATACACCAGATGAACTAGCTGCTGATAATGTTGAAATTGAACCTTTAGATGACATTGGCTACAATGAAGAATTTCAAATTGAAAATATTATTAATTGAGTCAATTAAAAATTTTCGATTTACTTTTAAATAGTTTCGATCCATTGGAGTAATTAATTTTAATTCAAGCGTTGAACCAGCTGATTGAATTATTCGAACAACCTGTTGATGTGTATACCATTTAACATCAATTCCAGATATTTCAACAATAAAATCGCCTTCTTTAATACCACCCAACTATATGTATAAATTAAATGAAAAATATTATATTAATAAAAATAAAAAAATCTTTATTTTTAATCTATTTAATTGACTCACATCAGCTAAAGAATTCATTTCAACATGTGATATTATAGCTGGTGCATCACCTCTAATATGAAAGCCAAAACTTTCTGCATTATCATAATTTGAATCTTTTGTTTCTTGATCACTTTTTGAGCAATCAGATTTATGACTTTCATTTGATGATGAATAACAATGGCATATACCGCGATCACTATATAATGATGATGAACCTTTTTGTAATCGTACACAACGTGGAGCTGTCCAATGACGTCTAGCTGAAAATATTGCAATTGGACCTAACTTTTTAAATGGATCATCTACTTTATATGATGTAAAATCTGGACCAGTCAATGATAATGTAAATTTTGAACATGCTAAAAATAAAAAGCAAACAAAATAATTTTTAATAATTTTATTAGATTAAAGTAAATAAGGCTCACCATCAATTGAAACTTCAATTAAATCAAAATCTTCTTCGATTTCTTCAATAATTTTTTCTTCTTCAAATTTTTCCAGTTCATCTCTTGTTCTGTAGTGTGCATCTCTTAGAACTGATATTAAACTTGCTTTATTCTATATATCAAAAGAATGGTTAATTCTTTTACTTAAAAAAACAAATTTAAAATTAAAATTTTTTACTTTCAAATATCGACACATCCTTTGTAGTCTTTGTGCTTCTTCATGACTAGCTAATGATTCTTTAATGTGGGCTAATTTTAATGCAGTTGCACTATGACTATTATCAAGATTGTCTTCATCGTCGATGAATGACTCAATAGTTGGATTTTTTTTAATTTTTGGCTTTGATTGTGACTTATCCTTTGATTTTTCTTTTGAATTCAAACTTTTAGATTCATAATGATGAGCCAATGCTAAAAAATTATAATTAAGAATTTATTAGACACTGAGTAGAAGTTTTTTAATTAAAAATTACAAAGTTTAAAATATTCAATGCAAAAGTGTTAAGTAGAGTTTTGCTGAAAAACGTATAACACTAAATAAGAATAACTAATTTAAACGCATTTTAATGTACACAAATCCAAGCGGACTGAATCTTTGCAGTTTCAATAATTTTTCAAAATTTATTTAAATTTCATTAATTATTATAAGCAAAGTGTTAATTTGTATTAAATTGTTAAGTGTTACATTACAGATGTCTAATATGTCACTGTATTGACATATTTGAAATTTATACGGAAAATGCAAAGCAATCAATTACTTTCATAATTGTTATTTATTCGTACATAATATATGTAGGGCATTTTTCTTTAAAAATTAAATTCTGTAACTTAAATTTGCATAGTTTCAGGGGCAAATAATAAAAGCAGTATTGCCACTGAATGTGAATTGATTCTCTTCAAAAGCAAGTTTTCTTGTACAAAGACTGAATTAGGCTTTAAGTAATTTTGTCACGGCTGAAAGATCAATACTTTTACGTTCTAGATTTTTTTAGATAAATACTTTAATTAAAACTTAAAGGAGACTAGTTGGAACTAGTTTGAAAAGTCATCCAGTTTGTTCGGTTGAATTAATTTTGCAATTCACATTAATTGATAAATTATTTTTTTTTAAAGTCGTCAGTTTTCTACGGCTGCCGAATTTACGAAAAATCTTTGAAGTAAAAAGAACTGATTACCAAATTTCAGTTTTATATTGTTTTTATTTTTTAAGATGAAATTTAAACATTTATGATTTGATGAACAATGCGAAACAATTGTACGTGCAATTTTTTTGCAAAATTTGAAAATGTTTCTATTTATTCGAATTATCAAGGTTAAGACTAAATTAAAATTTGAGAACCAAATTATGTAAGTCTTTTTAATTTCGTATGTCTGGTAAATTTTCAATTTCAAAAGCCTATTTTAATAAAAAATTGCAGTTACAGGCGTGCATTAATTACCTTATATTTGCTTAGGCAACAAATGTACAACATATAAAAATATGCAGTTCACATTTTGTGTATATCTTACGCGATTCAAAGTAAATATATTTTAAAAATTACTGATAGGAATAAATAAATAAATTTTCTAAAAGAAATCGAAAGTATTTTAGGAGTCAAAATCCACAAATTCCGATATTAAAATTAAATAAATTAAATACACTATTGATTTTACCTTTTTAAAATTCAATGATTTCTTTGTTAACGTGTTATTTTTTTAAAGTAACTGTTTAATATTACAACTTTACTACCAAATTGTAATAAAATTTTACTATGGCTTTTAAGTAATATTAAATTTTTTTTTTAAATATTTAACAATTTTATAATCTATGCCATTTGAATATTTGTAAATTTTTTTGTTTTATTTTTACAATTGGCGCTTACCTTTATAAAATTCCGCTTTTAATGGTACCAACCCAGCCCAACATTCAGGTAAATATGTATGGGTTTCATTTGATTGAATATTTTTGTGCATTTCATTATATTCAAATGATAATTGAGCTGCTTCACCGCCCAAATCCTTATATAACTATAAATATGTAGATATTGAAGAAAAATAAAATTACAATGTTATTATGAATTTGGGATGCGTTTTTAAGCATAAATTATTTATTTTTTTTTAAAAAAGCATGCGTAATCCAATACGATTTTTTATTATTTTTGTTATTTAAATTAACAATAATTTTTTATACATTGAAATTAATTATTGAGAACAGTATGAAATTATTAAGAGTTTGAAAATAGATTCATGTTTTCTGTGGCTACTGCATCCTAATTATTTTTTAATACTATATGACTGTTTAGTGTGTTATACATATGTATAACAAGTATACAATCATTGTTTTAGTGCATACTACATATACGGTTATGATTGCGGAATGGGCCGACTAAAACATTTACGCTGGTAATGTATTGTGTCTGCCCGAATTAAGCTAAATTGGAAATTATTTTGACAGTATGTAGTGTATATGTAAATATGTATGCAGAGTGATTCAACAACAAGTTAGGAGCCATATACCATCGGGTCGAAAATGAGTAAAGTTTTTGTTCGGAACATAGTGTTAAAAATCTTTTGCGGTACAGGAGACATGGTAAAACTACCATTTGCACTTCAAGTTTTAAAAGACCCTTATAAAATGTGTATATGTACTTGATGGTGAATCACCCTGTATATTACTGGCGGCAAACTGAAAAATTTTACTGATTATACAAAGACTTTAGTTCAAATTAGGATTAAAATTATTCAGAATTCATTTTGAAAAACTTTAAGAATTTTAGTTTTTCGCATCATCTCAAGTAAATCTATTTATGTAGAGTTGAAATATAACTAAAGTTAACATGCGGCAACACTTTTATATTAAAGTATTTTAATAAATTAGTCTATATTTTTCTTTTTGATGCTGTAACTGAAATAATTTCTAGAAAATGTGTTTTTACTGTTCTCATTAATCATCGTGGAGGAACTGGTAAACCTATTCTGAATTAAGAAAATTTTAAAATTGAGTGGTAGCATGTTTAGCCGCAATTTTTATTTTAAATTCAGAAGAGGACGCGTATAAAATAAGCACATTGCAGGAAGGAGTTCTTATTTAAGTCCAACTTTCCCCTCTATATCACATATAAAAATTATAGAACAGTAATTAAAGGAATAATTCATTATATAAAATAAAAACTTACATGACTTGAATTTCTTAATGCTAGCGATTCAATTTGTAATTGTAATTTTTCGAATAGACATTCACGTGCTTGTGCCAACATCAATGATACAAAAAAATCTAATACTTGTGGTTTTAAATCCATTGACGGGGCATTCGTAAATGTATCAAAAATATGACGAAATATACCGGCTGCCCTTAAAAAACTATCAACAGCTGCATCTAAACCTTTTTCAGAAGTACGATCATGTTTAGCACCAATTTGAGTATAAATTGAACCCAAATTAAATAATATACAAGCTTTCTCAAATGCAATTGTTCTCTGGCATGATGGGACTCCTATTAAATAAATAAATTTTAATTTAAATTATAGGTAAAAAGAAATGAGAAAAAATATGTTTGTATAGCGCTAAATGAGAACGTTAATAAAATAATTATTTTTATTTTTTAAAACTTCATTTAATATGTTAAAGTCATAAATATTAGCCATCTTCTTTTTTTTTTAACAGTTAAAAGCTATTAAAGTAAAAATGTTGTAAATGCAAATTTAAAAAAAAGAAGAAGAAAGAAGACACAAAATTAATTTTTTGTTTGTTTTTTATTCTCTTTATGAAAGAGGAAAAAAAATGAGAATCTACTTTGGAACAATAGGCAATTTGAATTTATTTTCTTTCTTTTTCTAATTTTTCTCTTTTACGAGTAAGTTGCTTCTTCTTCTTCTTTTTAATCATGGTTTTTATATTAAATTTAATTTTCTATCATTATACTTTACCTGTTAATGAGTCATACCACTCAAAGTATACTCCTAAATTTCTATCTGGCGGAAAAAATCTTCTCTCAACATAATACAAAAGATTATAATATCGGAAGAGTAATGATACACCCTGTAGATCTCTTGTTGGAGTTCGTGCAGCCTAAATTTTACAATTCATTTTATATAGTCAATATTATTGTATGTGTGAATATGTATATATATGTATATTAAATGGTGTAGCGTGTCATAGAATTTTTAACAATTCAACGGTAGTGATGTCGATTACAAAAATGATGATGATTATGATAATATGTTTTGGTATAAATAATGATAATTAGTTGAAGAAAATTTATAAGAAAAAAAAAACAAAAAGTAAAGAAAAATTACAATTTATTCTTAAATGCATTTTTTAATTAAAAAAAAAAAAAAAATTTAAATATTTGCGGGTGCGATAAATGAATACTGTGAGAATCACGGCTTCATGATTCTGTAGTATATTGTATGTTGTTTTTGTAATTATTATCGATGTTAAATTTACCTGTCGTGTATCTGTTATATCAGCGATAGCATCTATGTAAATAGATGATTCTTCACTATAATGTTCTAAAATGAAGTCTGAAAATGGTTCCAGGAAATTTATTTCTTTAGTTTCTTTTAAACCCAGTGGTATCATTGGCATAATGCTTTCATGACTACATAAAATATAAAAGAGTGAAAAAAATAAAATAAAATAAATATTATGGAATAAATTATTACATTAAATATTTTCTTAATCTTGTATTTATTTTTATAGTTTTTTTTTCATAATTTTATTAACCAATATACTGCCAAACTCGTATAACATGAACTCCTCTAAAACAAAATTTCCGTTAACTACACTGCAACTACTTGTAAAAGGCAATACAAATATTATTGTATTTCACATAATGAGCAGAATTTTCTTGTATTTTTGATCTCCAAGCATCAAATCTCCATAGATCGAAATTCTTCCTTACACGAACAATTTTCACGTCATTTTGATGAAAATTGCATCTATAACATAAAATTTATAAATACAAATTCTCTTTATTCTAAAATTTTCTCCAAAGCAATCAATTTTAATGTATAAACAACCTCTTTATTACGAAATTTGCCAATTCTGCGAGTGTATTGAATTTTTTTTTATACAAAACGTCAACAAATACTAATTTAAAAAAAGACCAATTTCTGTTTTAAAAAATTAATAAAAATCCCTAAATGTGGATTCTCTCCAGTACTAATTAATTTCGTGATTCAAAAGGATGATTCTTGTTATGGAGATTTGACTGTATAACTTATGAGATCATTACTGAGGAAGGCCATTTAATTTTAAGAAATATATTTATAAACCAAATTAAGTTCATCATTATAAAAATTATCTAATAGCAAGAATTATTGCCAGTATTTACCAGTAAATAAAGTTGGGCCAAAGCAATGGTTCGTAAAACAGAATTTTTCCCTTCAACAAGTGAACAGTTCAGCTATTAACATTATAGTTTAAAAATTCTACCTTTTACGTCATTTAAGTGCTAATTTTATTCTTATACTGAAATATTTTTTAAGATTGCATACATTTAGAATGAGTTAAAAAAAATAAAATTAAAGGAGTCTTTAACGTAATACTCGAATTTAAGGGTTAATTATGTGAGTTAAGAAAAATAATTATATTGTTTGATGGTATGGCATTTACCTTTACCTTTCTGCCTTTATATAAATAATGTAATGAGGCAATAAAATTTGGATTTTAATAATAATTTTTTTTCCATTCATAAAGAGCACGTTTACTGAAATGCAAATCTAACGTCAACTTGACTTATTGTGCAATATAATTTCAACTTCCGAATAAGTAAAATTGACGTTAGATCTATGCATTTCGATAAACGACTAGTTAATCTCTTTTACTACTTTTTCTTTCTTACTAGAGAGGTGTTCATTTATTGATAGAAGTTTCCATAAATTAATCAAAAGCTTGCGTGTTAATTGTAATATGATTGATTTTCGATGATCTTTTTAAAATGGCTCCTTCAAGAACTACATATTACTTACATATGTATAAATAAGAATCAATAGAAAAATGTAAAAATATTAAGTAAAATTGAAAAAAATTAAGGATGCATTCATAATTTTACTCGAAACCTAAAGCTTTTTTCAAAATTTCTGCCATAATTTGCCAGTTATTCTGTTAAATCAAATTAAAATTACGTAATATGTGAATTTCAATCCATGTGACCATTGACGCAAATCTTCTATATTTAAGTAAGCACTAAGCGTACTATGTGTTACATAATAAATAATTCTAAGAGCCAAAATGGTATTCTTAATGGACAAAAAAATATTTTTCTCCTTAAACTTCCAAAGAAAATAAAACGAAAATTTGTTTTTTTTTTTTTTAATATTTTTTCAAGCTGTCATCAAAATGTCTTTTGACACTCTTTAGATACAAAAATAAAAAAAAAAACTTGAAAGTAACAAAATGGTAAATATTTTTTTTTTTCAATTCTTGTGATGTCCGATGAGGGGTGATTTGATCGGAATTCATGAAATTAAGATAAAAAATCTTTTTGTTTGTTTATTTTTATTAAGTAAAAAGTGTGAATGTGTGGATGTTTTAGGTATAACTTCTTAAGAAAGGCTTGTCAATTGAGAGGATTGATTACCGTGATTGATTCGTTTGATCATTTTGAATAATTGAAGTGACCATGAAAATAAAATATCACGGATTCTGACATTTAAATAGACAGCGAATGTGTAGTAATTTATTCAATAAAACATTAAGCAATCATTTATCAATATTGTTAAATTATTTTAGTATGCGAGATGAACACAATTTTATTTGTTTTTTTGTGGTACTTTTGTGTTTAAAATGAAGAACGTGGTATGCGAGGTAACAATATTTATTTAAGGTAGAGGCGTCCTGTTTATTAAAGAAACAATTCAACTTAAAGAAATTTAAAATTTTAAATATAATAAATTCCTAATTGGAAATATTACAGGAAAACGGATTTTTAATTATAAAGTAAGTACTCGTAAAATTAAAGTAGGGAAATGATCATGACTATTTTGTCAATTTATTAATTTCCATCGTATGATACCGCTTGAATAAAATAACTTGGCATTAAGGTATGTGCCTCGTTTGTTTTTGTTTTAAAACTGCTTATTAAGAACAATTTGGAAATTCCGTAAAAGCAGCACGGCCAGGAATCACACTTCCTCAATCATTAAGAAATAGAAGCAAAAGTCAGACAATCAAGTCTATTCTACGAACTGCCTTTTATGTTAAACCGCTTACAAGAACCATTTTTTTTTTCTAGCTTTTACTCCTCCTTAATTACTCCTCAACATATTAATATTGGCAATTTTCGCTCGTTCTTTTTTTCGTTACAACAAGCTCTGTCGAACTTCCAGAAAGCTAAAATGCAACAGTTATCATCCTCTTGTTCAAAATTATACTCTTATTCTTTAATTAATAGTTACTACTCATTATGCTGCGATTTCTCCTATATTTATGCAAAATTTTTTGATAATATTTTACAAATTATGGGTTCGACCCATTTTAAATAGAAAAATTTAATGAACACTACCCATATAGCAAATTTTATATTACATAAGCGTATTGAATTGAAAATATTTAATTTTTATTGAACTTATAGAAATAAATAAAAAGAAAAGAAGAATTTTGTTACTTTTTTGTTTTTTTAATCCACTTCTTATTTTAGAATTTCTAATGAAAATAATTTTACCGTCGCGCACCTTACAATTCACTCAATTGTGCGACACAATTCAGAATTTTAATAACGCTTGACATGTACCTAAATTTGTGTGTATAAGAATAAAATTTTTTGTATTATGTATACATATGTGTATATATTTCGTATAATAATATACATGTAGATATTTTAAAAAACCAGCAACGAATTTTCAATGAACTTATAATGCCTTAATTGTGATTTAAGTATTTATTTTGAACACACATTCGTTCATACAAATACATACTTATTTTTGTATTCCGGCCATCGCATGTCTCTTAATACATTAAGGAGTTAAATTTTTTTTTTGTTCAAAGGTTAATTACTTTAACAAGTTCTATTGTAAAATATTGAACTTAGTTTTTTTTTTCTATTGAATAGTGTAATTGCATAAGTTGATGAATTTGAATGATTTTTAAAATCATTGAATAGTGTGCGTAATCTAATCACGTTTTTATAATAGGATGTGGTAAAAATAAATATTAAAGCAAATGACATACATACATGCATACATATCTGAATCTATTTTATAACGTTAGTTTCATTGCCGTACCTTAAACTTACAATATTAGAATTCTTGAATATTTTATTTTGTTTAACGTTATTTTTTATATTAATAATCTAAAGGCTATTCTTAAATGAATTCGTAAAACTTAATGATCAACTGAGTATAATTATTAAGACTATAAATTTGAAAATCAATTGATTAAGAGTGATTTATGTAAGATTTTCAGAGACTTTTATCGAAAAAAATAAAAATTTAAGTAATATTAAATTACTCTTCTTATGTAATCAATGCGCCTCTTTCAATCACAATTTGCCTAAAACCAATTTCAAGTCAAATGCATTTAAAATAAATATTAATGGTGTTAGTAGTTTTAGGATAAATCCATTGAAATTCGTAAGCCCACAATTTAATCAGAAGTTCAAAATTAATTTATTTTTACTAGGAAGGACTGCAAATAACTGACTTACTACGCTCGGTTATTCAAATCAATTAATTAAAATGTAAAAAATTTAAAAACACTTTCAAAGTAAAATTTTTTTTTTCGAAGTTTTGGCTTTGGAATAACCCCATAAAGTTGTAGAAGCTTAAGATGATGTAAAAGGGAAAGACTATGTTTGATTCAAATTTGTTCTATAGTTCCTAAAATTTCGCTTCAACAATGCAATGGTTTTTTAAGTGATTGCAGGAATTCATTAACTGAGTAACAGAATGAGGTAATAAAAATAGTAATTTCTCGATTTTGCTGTAATTGCAGGAAATTTTGATTTCGGACAAAGATTATTCGCCTTTCATTATAATATATTTGCGCTTACTATTCATTAAATTTAAATTTTAATTTGAGACTGTTTACAAGAATTTTGAAAATAATAAAACTATAATAAATAATAACTGCGTTCTTTCAAGATTCATTAAATTTACATAAATTCGAGACTTAATCATAAATTATTTTCTTTACTAAAACCTACACATACACAAGCATGCAAGTCTACAGGTTTCCATTTAATTTACTTTAAAAATACTTTTAAAAACTTTACTATACGAGCAGTTATGATGAAACAATTTGGTGAGCTGAACTTTATAGGAAGGTGCACTAATACTCAAGTATGTTATTTAAAATTTTAAGAAACCGCATATAAGAAAAATATTATAAACAAAAAAAAAATAAATAGTACGCCTAACTAACCTAAAAAATAATATATGTAGGCATTCAAAAAGAATTAACATTGTTGTGTCATGCAAGGATTTAATGATCTACAATTCAAAAATTCCATAGAGGGCTAAAAAAGAAATGCATAATATGTAACAAATAAAAAAAGAGAATTGGTAAATAAAAAAAAAGTAAAAAATATTATACGAATTGTAAACAATACCACATTTTAAATTCAATGGTAATGTTTTATTCTCTAGTATTGGTGTGTTCTTGGTGCTACTACTTAAATTGAACCCAAGTAGTTAGTTATATACTATTATTGTTTTTAGTTCTATATTAAGCATGTTCATAATAATGGGGGTATCACAACAAAAAAAAAAGTAAGTAAGTAATTCGTTCATAAAAATACTTTTGAAAAAATTCATAAACTACGCTTGGATAATCTCTAATTTTTGTTTCCTTTATTTTGGTTTTGTCCCCTTCCTTGTAAATTTTTCTTTTACTTTTGGGATTCATATACTGTAATTGTTAAAGTTTATATATATATTTATGTACATATAAAAGAATAAGGAAAATCATCTTCACGCTATTGTTTTAACCAAATGATTTCAATGACATGCTCAGGTATGTGAGGTCTGATTCTTCTATTCTTCTTATTAGTTAAGTTTGCCAGTAAAGTAGGTATACGTCGTTTGATTGTTATTTATATGAAATACTTCACATTGTATACAGACACATTCATGCACTCGAATATATATTGGGAATGGAAGTGAATGCAAAACAATCGTAAAATCAAATTATAAAGAAGAAAAATCAGAATATTTTATTCGACTTCATCTTTAAAAATGTGATAAAGTATAAAGGAACAGAAGAGAAAAAGAATAAAATCGGGAAGTTTTTTTTTAATTTTTTGAAAAAATTTTTTGTTTTTATTATTATTATTAGGGAAGGAAAAATTTCATACAATCAAAAATGGGATGAGATCTTTTTGATATAAAAAAAAAATAATTTCTTGTGCACAATCATTACCTATTTTGTATATTGCTCCCATTGGGAAGCTTCAATTTAGTTGAATTGTTAAAATGGTTGGAATTCTAATTTAAATACATAGTTTATAATACCTACATGTAAAAGTTTATAAAAACTGAAGTATATCACAAAAATATGATTTTCACTGGTAGAATAAGCAGAAATCAAGATTCTTAATCTAAGTCAAGAGCAAGGTAATCTTAATTAATTTATTTAAAGCTTAAATTAGAAAATAATCCCACGCTCATGAATGCTATATATCTGAATCTGTGGCAAAGAACCTTATTACCATCACAGAAAACTATTAACCCTTCGATTAGGACCAAAACATACACTGAAACATCTTAAGTTTTTGGAGAGAAAACAAAAATTAGGTCTTAAACTTAAACAATAGGTGCTTCGCTGATTCATTTTTCAACTGACTCTCTACTATGCTCGAATTATAGTTATTTATGATCTCGATTGTTGTCTCTAAACTATCATCGTGTTATTTTTGTTGTGAAATTGATGAATACGTGCTTTTGCTTATAAAATATTTGTATAGCAATAGCACTAAGTGATATTGGAATATTCGACACTATGCAAAATTTTTTAAGCTATTTTCGTTTTCTCAGTTAAATTCGGATCAAAAATTCTCGGTTTCGGAAGTTTGAGAGAATGCGCTTTTCAAATTAAAACATTTGATGTTTCAAAGCTTTCTACAATTTTAAAAAATCTATTTTTAATTTTAAAATAAGTAAAGCTTTGGTTTTGATATGGGAAATTCAAATATCAATTTTTTAAGAAGGTCTTGGTACCACAAGTGTTAAAATTTTAGAACTGTTTTTCAATTTTTAATCCCAATTGTTGGCAAAATAACTGGTTTTTTAATTAAACTTTTTTTTTTAAATTTTTTGTTTTATGCTCATTGCATTCTGTAAATGGTAAGAAGAATGAAAAGGAAAAAAATTTAAGAACTTGAAAATAATGAGGAACACGGTAAATTGTAGATTTTTGTCTTTTCAACACTAACTGGCGATTTCGTATTTTTTTTTCTTACGTTTAAAATGCATTTGCAATTTTTATATTTATTTTTTTACGTCAATTTTTAAGTCCTCCCGTAGCAGATGAAAATTGAATTGGTTAGTGTTCATTGACTGATCTGACGTTGTTTGTCGTTCTTTGTCTTTTGTAATCGTCATCAAGTCCGTATACCTCCACATATAATATTAAGAATTAAGTGAAGTCTATCTGGGGTGGTGATCTATCTAAAAAAAAAAAAAATTCATATGTTTTTTTTTTATTATGTTTTAAAATTCTTTTCCTATTATTTTCACAAAAAAAAAGTCAAAGCTGTTGGTTTATTGCTGTCGTTAATCGCTAAACTCATTTCTTTGTAATTTTGTGGTTTGTTGGTTTTATTTTCCAGTGATTTTATAATGAGAAAAGAACCTGTTGGTGTTGCTAATTTTAATATTAGCATAACATGTTGCATCACATACAAAATAAAATAAAAAAAAAACAAGGAGAATAGCAACAAACGAATCCAACAGGGAAAATTGTAATAATAATGGAAAAATTAAAGAAAACAATATGGTTAGGTTATTTTTCAAGTTTAAAAAAAAATTATTAACATAGCTACACTTTTTTGAATATTTACCTATTCCTATATATACACATACATATATATATATGGATACTGCATTGTATTTTTAATATAGGAAAAATATGAAAAATAAAACCTTTTTTTTGCTGGAAAAAAGTAAAGAAAAAATTTAATTTTTCTTTTTGCAATTTGTAATTTGCGTGAATTATGAACCATGACTTAGGTGTTTTTTACTCGGTTTATGCACAGGGATGGTTTAATTAAAAAATTATTCATTATCAAATTGTGGTCTTCTATATAATACCTACGTAATAATTATGAAAAAATTAAGACGATTTCCTTAAGTTTCTATTTAGTGTTTGTAATTGTGCTGCAAAAGTCTTATTGTCAACACTCTAAATTATAAAAAAAATTCAGATTTATGGAGACTCTATTTGCAGTCTCTTTGTTTATAAAATTTTGCTCGATCGATTTTTATTCCAATATATCCGACGGAAACGTTTCTGAATGACAAAAAATAAAATTTTGCTTCAACAACAAAAATCGTTTTTTCTATAATTTTCTTTTAAAATTGAATTGGAATTGTAGTTGGCTTATTCAGGTGAACTTTATTTTTCAAAAAAATTCTACAACTAGTTCCTATATATTCTAATATGAAATTGAAACAATTTTAGAGCTGAAATACAAAATTTCAAGATAAAATTGCTGTACGCCATGTGATAATGTGTGAACTAGTCATACAAAATGATGATCTTCGTATGACATTCTGCAGACCTATATTAGAGATATTGAAAGAACACTTTAATATTAACGATAACGAAAATTAAGAGAAATTTTAATATGATGGCCGGATCTTTAATTTTGGGGAAGAAACGTCAGTACTTTGCTTTTATAAAAAGTTGGAAAAACTTATGTTTTTACAAAAACTGAACATTGAAATTTTGTTAATTTTGGATAAGAATAAAAAATAAAATCTTGTATGATCAGCACTAGTTTACTTATTCTTCCTCCCAGTCATGGGAAAGTGCGTTTCCACCGAAAACTCGTAAATTTGGTGCCATCACTATATAAAAAGTGCCATCACTAAACTGATCGGCGAAAAAGTATTGACCTGTTTTAAGTTTTATAGGGCAGAAGTGTGTAAACAATTATGCAACTACTAGTTGGCAACATGACTTTAATTTCCACTTTTTGAGTTACAAAGTATGAAATCTTTCAGCATCTATTTTTTAATATCAACCATTTTCAAACTGAATTTACACTATTATTTGTTAAAAGTTCTTCAATGGTATTTCTGAATTATAGTAGATAAAATTCTATTGCAATATCAATGAATAATTAATTGAAAATTCCAAAAACAAAATTGCGTGGCTTACCTGTCGTTTTGGTATATTTCTACAGATGAATTTAATTCCGCTAGTTGCTCTTTAAGTAATTGAAGATTTGAATTTACAAAACTTAGCTCTAATGCAACAGTATCCCTTAATTTTCTATTTGTTGTAGCCTATAAAATATAAAAGAAAAATTGTTAGTTGACCTCATGAAAGAAAAATTTTTATTGAAAATTCTCATGTTTTTAGAATTATAAAGTTTTCTTTTCTTCCATTACGTTAAAATTATTCAATCAATTTTAGAGATTCAATTTAGAAAAAATCATGTTTTTTTATTGTCTTATATTTATAGGACATTGAATGAATTAATTCAAGAAAAAATTCTATTCATTTCAATCTAATTTGAATGACAAGAACATTAAAAAGAAGGATTTTCCATTAACAGGCTTTTTGTGCTTATCAAATTAATCTACCTTTTTCATACATAGCAACTTTTAATCGTATAGTATGGTAAGTAGTAACTCAAAATTCAAAATTAAAAAAACCAGAACTTCAATTCCTAAGAATTATAATATAAAGTTGAATTTTAAAACAAAACAGAAACAGAAAAGTATGTAGATAAGCATTTAAATTGGTTGAAGTAGGTGGTCATGAAATGGAAATTTTTGATTATTTTAAGGTGCGCAGAACCAGATAAAATTCTTAGAATTCTAAATGGATTTATTTTTTCTGGTTCTTATATTTTCATGTTATTCTTTCTCTTTTCATACATGTATTGAATTCAGGAAGAAAGAAATATTGATTTTACATGAGAGGATGAAAATCAATAAATTTCAATTTTCTGTTTTTTGCAACAATGTAAGGGTGTAGTTTCTTAAAATCAATTTTTTTGAATGGTAAAAGGAAGATTTGATTGAAAAAAAATTCATACAAGAAATTTCCTTGTGACTTTTAAATTTGAACGAAGAAAACTGGGTTTCCCTGATTAAAAGAATTTTAGATATTTCTGATTTGGGAATCAATAAAAATTTATGAATATTTTGCAGGGTTTTAAGAGGAATAACCTCTTAGAAAATACAATTAAATTGGTATTAATTGGCATATGGTGCAGAGTTTATAAAATATTTAATACTTTTACGTTTGATTGAATAGTATAGTGGCATTGATAATTGGAGTGATAAGTAGAATTCTCTTTTCTAAAAAGAATAAAGATCGTGAGCGCACAAGCTTCTAGTAAGATTTATTATATTAATAAACAAACTATGTAAATGAAAAGAGCGGACAGAACAAGACAGAGCTTTGATTTTTTGAAGCGAATAAATGAGATACCTCTTCACATATGTGACAAATTTAGATTTTTTGGATTTCAGTTTAAAACAATAGAAAATGATTTATGAAAGATGAAGGAAAATCATTTAATTTTGTAAAACTGTCATTTTTGTTACAATTATTTTGGAATGTAAACTAATATTTATTGAAATTACACGGCCTATCTGTAATATCAATTGCCATACGATGCAGGGCAATTTGACTTTTAAATTATATCTTGGTATTATGAATTTAATCGATTAGTTTTTAATACATATGAACTGGAAGCCTCAAGTATTGAGAAATATTTTACAGTTTTTAGAATTTCTACTTACTTTATATAAATTTTCTGCGCCAGCCCTTAGTCTTAATTCCTTATTTATTTCTTGATTTAATTTACAACGTCGATTCTGCAGTTTCCCTCGACATGTAGCAGCTCTTGGATCAGATCCCTGAAAATGAAAGCATAAATAATATTTAACATATTTGTGATTTGTGAGAAAATTTTTTGATTTAATTTAATATATCAATATTTTAATAAATTTATTCATATGCAATTCAGTATTCACAGACGACAAATTTATTTACATAAGTGAGAGCAAGAAGTATTTATTAAATTTCATCTCTATTCATACACAATAAGCACAGAGGTGACAAAAATTTCATAAAATTAATTAAAACATAAAACAAGAAAACGCTCTTATAAAGAAAGATGGCTGTTTTCGGATTTGATTCGGATTCGAATTTGAGAAAACGGGAAAGTTGAGTTGCGTTGTGACCACCATGACTTATAATAAAAATTTCATTAATTTCCCACAAATATTCTTATTTAAAACGCAATTTGTGTGTCCCTCTTTGAAAGCAATTAATGTAGTCATATTCAATACAATATTTTTGCCGCTTATTAATAAAATGGAAAATTTTTTAAATTTCGAGTTTAAAAATAATAATAAAAAAACTTTTGAATCTTGTGGCATATTTAATGTACTTAATTTGAAAAAGGTTTTCAAATTGTAAAGATTATTGAAATTTTATTTCGTAATAAGAATTAATGTGTACATTTTTTTGTTTAAATTTCAAAGTGATAAAGATATGAAAAATTTCTACTATTTTATATTAAAAGGCATTTCAACGATTTTGGTTTTCATTCATTATAAAGCTCTGAAATCCACTTATGGTTATACGAATTATAAGTGGATTATAAGTGGACCTCTCATTTTTAGCACTTTTTAAAAAAAATTAAAAAATTTGATAAAACAATTTCATATTCAGTTTAGCTGTGCTCCACCGTCCACAGTTTTGGTATTTAAGATAGGCAGATGGGAGATTATTTACTTAATTTACGCATTTGCACGCAGTTATGTAAAGCAAAAATATGTTTTTCTCATTGGAAATATTTTACGGCAAGAAATTTAAGTTTCAAGTAAACCTCTATTGAATATTTCTTTCCATATGGAAATGTAAATTTAGTTGCTGGTGTTTAATTTCATCGGAAGTCTTGGTGGCTGTCAGAAAAAACTTATCTAAAAAAATTTCGAAAAAATTTGTTTAACATTTGTTTTTACAACTGATAAAAATTTAAAATCAAGTAAAGGTCCAGATATCAAGAGCTATGATGCTCCAAAAGTTATTATTAATTCATTCCACCTCCAAAATAAAATTGAGACTTATGAGACTAGCCAAAAGATTACAAGATCAATATTTTACCAATATGGATCATTCACGATTCTTCATCAGGTAGAAATTATGGCAAACTAAAAACTCATGAAATTTATTGTAATCATAACGCCTTGGTTATGCAATACGGTTGCTTAAGTTAAAATTAATGCATATATTGTAAGGTTTGCCAAAAGCCAAGCTCACTAATGAAGGTAATATTAATTAATTAGGTTCATGTTATTTAGGTGTTACAACTCACTGAAAATATTTTAGAAATTTTAGATGTATGGGAAATCAAAAGCCTTGAGCTTAACACCAAAGATAACAATAATTTTGAGATTATTAGTGCTGCCTTACTTGTACGCCAGTTTAATTTTATTTAAAATTCGACATTTTAGTGTCAAATTCTTAGTTTTAATTCATACAAATTAAATTAATCTGTAAAATTTTAAATGGCACATGGTGATGTTAAAATAGTGACCGCAAGTATGAAGTGTGCTTTTTATAAATCATGGGTTTATGCTCAATACTTATTTATTTTTAACAATTTTTTCTTATACTAAACAAGAAATGATTTTTTTTTTGTTGTATGAAAAAAAAAATAATAAAAATAAAATCAACTTTTAAGAAAATGCCTAATATTTGAGATGTAATTCCTTATAATACATCAAAGCAATTATGTAACAAATTACAAATATTTTAAAAATTAATTTTTTTTTTTCAATTATAATCGACGTACATATTCGTATGATGGTGTATTTGGTGTGGTTGCGTTGTTAATTTGGTAAATATTATGGCCTTATAAAGTTATTAGCATGTGCTACCACTTTTATGTAATATTCATTTGTGTTTGTATGTGTTTCCATATTATGTATGAATATATGTGCAAATTAACTTATATATGAAAAATTTTTTTCTAATAGCTGGTCATTTTGAATTGCGCATCAGATTGTACTCGTTTTAATTCGGATTGCTGCTGCTGCTGCTGTATTAATATTAAGTGGTCATACTATCATTTACCACTACAAAAATAATGGTTATCTTTTTATCCACATGTATATAAATATGTAATTCGGAATGTAAATTCAATGAAAATAAGAAATAAGAGAGAAAAAATGAAATTAAATTGAAAAATAATTCAATTTTTTTTTATCCATGCACTGAACGTACCACCAACTTAGTATATTAAAAATTTCATATAGGTAAGTACTCTGTGTACCAAATAGTTTTTGAATAAATTTTAAATTCAATTATTTTTCTAAAAAATTTGACCGTCAATAAAACATTTTTTCATCTCATAAAGATTTCTAATAGATTATGCATTAAGTTTGCTATCTGAAAAAAGCATAAAAACAAGGCAATAATAAAAAAATCTGATGTAGTCAGCACATAACCCACCGTAGTGTGTATTGTCTACTTAAGCAAAAGTTTTACAGACGATTATGAAAATATCTTTTAAACCCTTCTTTCTAGTTTTATGGATGTTAGTAATCTTTTAGTTAACATTACTAGAAAAATGTAAATTTGGCTCTTAGTAGAGTTTCGCTTTGTGCTATCCGAATTCTCTGAAAAGCTCGCTAATCAGTTTCGGGAACAATTAAAACTTAAATATTAAATTTTACAAAATTCCATCAATTACTTTTATAAATGTGATAAAGTGTAAATTTGTTCCCTGTTTCGGTTTCTGAGCCCTGATCGTTCCAAAAAATTTATAGGTTCGTTATTTCAATACTTCGAATTTCAAGGAAATTGGTTGATTATTTCTACAATTGAAAAACTGAGTAATGTTATTGAAAAAATGGAGACTTGAAAGTGAATAAAAAGTGAGATACACGATTAGGCTGTAAAACTTACAAAAATTAAAAAGACTGAATGAAATTTTGCAAGAAGTTTCTGCAAAGTTTGATAGGCTTGAGTAGCTGTCATATAGGTCAAAAATCTAACATTAAAGTCGGCTAAAGTCGACTAAAACGATTTCACTCTACGAATTCAAATTTTAATTGGTATTTTTAATTCTAAGCATTTTGGATATTTTAAACAAACAGAATTTTTGGACGAAAGCCAGCCTAAAGTATGTCACGTGTACTTGAAACTACTTTTGAAGCTACATATTTTAATTTGTTCATCACTGTTTGTGTGATTCTCACTACGGGTAGTAGTGAGTTAGAATCATCGCATTCATTTTGATTAACACTTGCCTACAATATTTACAACATTCACAAATGGTAATGTAGGATAATCTTAAACAAATTTTTCCTCATAAATTATTACTTCTTTGTTTTTCCATTCATGTTACAAAACCATAGCGCCTTAATATGGAATTCAGGTGTCAATTAGATCTTATAAATGGAGGGGAAAAATTTTAATAAATTTTTTTATGGTTATTCTAGTTCCTCAAAACAAAGTTTATAATAAAACTGCATATTTGTCCCCATTGAAGACACACATACATAAATATCTGAGTTCTGAGTTATGTAGGTCAGTACACTCCAATAAGAGAATTGTTTTTCTATTTGTTTTTATTTTTTAATTTACTTTTATACGTAAGTATATGTATGGTGTAATAAATAATGATTATGTAATGAGTTTGTATACACTAAAAATGAAATAAAATTTTATCTACATATGCATAGATCTAATTACATATTAGTACGTGGAATAATATAGTCAGTTGCATAGTCAAATACTTTTGATGTTTTGAAAATTTTTTAAGATTTAAACTATTTATATTGGAAAAATATTGAATTTTTATCATAATTTTAAAACTAACGTTATAAAATTTTATACGGACACTAATTTTGCAGTTTTTGTTTCTTTGCATAGCTCGGTGCAATATTTTCATTTAACCCGATTCGTTTTATTTCAAAATATTTCAATTATCACGTTTATAATTGGAGTAATTTTTCAAATGTAATTAAATGAATTTTTGTAACACTTGGATCAGGTGCTACAAAAAAACGAGAAAAACTAATTGTTTTAAACGGGTTTTTATGTTTGTAATATGAATATGAAAGTTACTAAATTTTTATATTCTAGTGACTGCTGGCAACTGCTTTGATATTAAAATTCGTTTTAAAATAAAAAACAATTAAATTCAAATTTAAAATTTAATTTGCTTTAAATTAGTTTTGGAGTTAAAATACTTAATACGAGTATCGGTTTGCCTTAGTTTGGAAGTATTCTAGATCCCTTCTTAAAAATTTTGCAGAAATGCGATTTTAAGTTTGTAAAATTTTGAGTCTCATGATTTTACAATTAGATAAAATTAAATTTATAGAATTTACAGTACAAATGAACATACGATGGTGCTGCTCTTTATATGCTTTGAATAAAAATAGTTAATTATTTTAAAATATACAAAAAACAATTTAAGCCACCAATATTTTGACAGTATCAGAAAAAAGGATAGAAAATAGAAATGTGTGAAAAACACATTTTGTAAGAAATCAAAGGCGACGATTAAAATGAATACAAATGGAGAACGAGATTTTTCAAAAATTGGAATTTTGAGTATATTTGGAAAATGTAATAATATAATAGTGTCAATGTCATCATGAACATTTTGTGTGTCAAATGGAATGTCAAAATACTTTGTATACAACAAATCCTTCGTTAATCAGTTGTTCCTGTAGGCAGCGACATGAATTTTAAACAACTGAAAATTCTATGTATTTCGTTTTCGTGCTTAGCAGCGATATTTGAAAAGAAATTCTACTAAATTTAAAATTATGCATTAAGTATATTAAAATATCGAATTAAAAATTTACTACTCTACTGCCTTATAACATTGGAA